CATACCCAGGCTTGATCAAATCACAAATAATAATAATAAAAAAAAACAAACAAGAGGAGAAACATAACACATAGATAAGGTGAACAACAACAAACAGACAATAACCACACCCAATGATATCACAGGGCTTAAATATGGCAGAAGACAATTCCCACAGAAGAAGATCACTGACAACCCACACCGAGCAAAAAAATCTGCGACAAGAGGTAGAGGAGAACTATCACTGGATCCTAATCAGAGCTGGAAGGAACCGATTCGGAAGAGTCATTCTAGATATGCCACACCTTCGTAAATTTAGCAGGACACCCCCTAGATTCATAAGTATATTTATATAGAGGGATAACCATATTAACCAGCTGTTTCCAGAAACTGATGTGGGAGCATGAGGGGACGTCCACTTTAAGAGTATTGCTTTGCGAGCATAAAAAAGCAAGAAACCAATCAAGGTTCTCATGATGTGATAGATAGCTAAGGCCTGAATCAAACCCAACAGACAAATCTCAATAGACAGTGGTTCAAAAACCGTGGTTATAGAGGATATATTATCAACCACATTTGTCCAGTACCTCTGGATAACAGGGCAGCTCCAGAAGATATGTAAAAATGTTGCTGGATCCTCAGGGCAATGCCAACATCTAGAAGGGTGTGCTGGAAACATCCGGTGCAGCCTCTGAGGAGTATAATATATTCTTTGTAGAATCTTAAACTGAATCATTCGGTCACGAGTAGAAACCAATTGCTGCACAGGATGCTCCCATATGTCCTCCCAATTCCCAGAGTCCAAATCAGGCACCTCCATGCACCATTGCGCAAAAAAATGCTCAAGACCAATATGAACCAATGGCTGTAAGGCTTTGTAAATAGAGGAGAGGGGTTTCCTCAGGGACTCCTCTCACAGCATGGTCTCCCACCCTAACTCCAGAAACTGTAGTTTACTACCCTGAAATTGTCAATGAAAAGCATGACGTAGTTGAATGTATCTAAAATAATAGGAGCTGGGGAGAGCATATTGAGCTTTTAAGGAATCAAATGTACTGAGCGTACCACCCTCACAGATCTGCTGCAGATACTTAACATTTTTCGATGCCCAGACCTGAGGGAAAAGAAAGAATTCTTTTAAAAAGGGATTCAGCCATAACAGGGTGTGGGTCGACCAAACTCGGGACTCTAAAGGAAAGTGCAACTGCCAGGCCCTAAGGACCGCTCTCATAGCCATAGTAATGGGAAGAGGTGTGGCTGGACTCCTATATAACAGGTTATGGAGGGCTTCATAAGAGCCCATGAAAGCTGCCTCCAATACCACAGCAGCATTGGTCTCATCAGCCACTATCCAGTTGTGCGCATGAGAGAGCAAAACCGCAAGGTAATAAGAATATAGATCAGGGCAGGCCAATCCCCCTCAGTCCAGGGTCTCTGCAGCACCCTTAGATTAAATCTTGGCTGCCTCGAACCCCACAGGAAAGAGACTACTGCTGCATCACATTGTTTGAAGTATTTCCGTGGAATCCAGACTGGAGAATGTCGGAGTACATAGAGGAAGCAGGAAAGGAGTTTCATTTTGACTAAGTTAATCTTACATAGGAGGGAGAGTGGAAGGTTAGTCCATGATGCCATGCATTGCTTCGCCCTCAAGAGTAACAGCAATAAATTGAGCCTACAGAAATCTAAGGGGTTCGATGAAACCACAATACCCAAATATTTCACTGTGTAGGCCCACTGCAAGGGGATGTCAGGATCAAGCAAAGTTTTAGCACCCTGGTCTATAGGGAGAACTTGAGATTTATCCCAGTTAACCTTTAGTCCTGATAATGGCGAGAAATCAGAAATCAGGGCCAAGGATGCCTGAAGGGATGGACCCGGATCCTGGAGAAACAACACCATATCATCTGCGTATAGAGCCACTTTCTCAGTAATAGTGCCCACCTGTATGCCCTTAACCTCAGGGGACATTTGCAAGGTCTGAGCCAAGGGCTCCATAACCAACACGAAGAGGGCAGGGGAAAGAGGGCATCCCTGTCTTGTCCCCCTACCCACAGTGAAAGGGTCAGAAAGGTCACCACCCAATTTGCTGTGGGCTTAGGCATCACTTTATAAAATGCCTAACCAGGAACTAAAATGTTGACTAAAAACCATCTGCTCCAACACCTTAGACATATAAACCCAGTCAACAGAGTCAAGCGCCTTTTCAACGTCAAACGTGACGATCACCCGGGAGTATGACTCTGCCGAAGGGAATTGAATATGTGACAAAAACGCGTCGCAAATTAATATCAGACTTCCCAGGGATAAACCCAGTCTGATACATACTTAGGAGAGAATAAAAAGGAGTTTCCTCAACCTCTGTGCTAAAATTTTAGTCAGAATTTTTAAATCATAATTCAGTAGTGATATGGGTCTATAGGAGCAGCAGTGTAGAAGATCCTTACCAGGCTTCGGTATCAAGACAATGTGAGCCTGATACATGAAGGGGAGAGGACACCCTGGACCAAGCTTTCCCTGA